AACGGGGGAGAAAGCCCCAACCTCACTCTGCAGGTAATATTTGTTAATTGGAGCAACCGGAACACCCCACACGTCATCGTTGCCGTGGAGGTAAATTTTGTGATTATTTCAGAAAGTAACAATCCTACATCAAATCTTGATACTTGGGATTATCTGCCTAAACAATTCCCATTATGGCAGCCTTAAAATATTCCCACTCATGTAATTTTGTCCTAGTTTGTTCTGTTAGTATAAATATGGAGCTCTAATCCGATTTTCAAAACAAATACCTACTAATATTCGAAAATTTTCCCTTGTTTTTCTATCGTCTCTTTTTAATTTTCCATTTAAATTGCGAACTATGGCTGCTTATTCGATGTATGCAAGAATTTTGCTGATGAGTTTGATGATTGCATCTATGTTTATAGCTAGTTCGAGCACTCGACTTTCTCATGTATTTTTGGTTGGGAAAGAACCTGCTGCCTCGTCTTGCATTACATGAATTTGGTATTGAGGAGTCAAAATTAGAGTATTACAAAAGTCGAGCGGTGTTAATGTTGGATGCGGGGACAATGAGAGTGGTGCCGGGAGGATCGGATCCTCAACACCATTTTAAATCATCATCATTGTCCTAGGTAGATAAATACATAAAGAACATTTGCGTTCTTTTGTAGCCGATGTGTAATTCATTCATGCAGCCAATAATGCATTAAATCGAGTTTTTCCTTCTTTGGGCTTTGATTCCATACGTGAAAATTATTTTTCTTTGCGAGTCTTTGATCCCCTTTGGGTAACTTTCTTTGTACCAACAATTTCCCAAAGTTCCTCGTTTTGGTACTAAACTATTTTTTGATATTTGAAAAATATCGTCTCCAAGATTTACTTTGTGCAGTTTATTGACTTTTGTAGATTGTTCTTACGTGGCGACTCAACAAAAAATTTTAGACAGGAAACACGTGATATCAAGAATTAGCCACCTCGACTTTAATATAGTGTAAAGAACACTTAGGTAACCCCACAAAGATCTTAAATTTACATGAGATCACATAAAATTTATTGCAGTTCAAAAATGTGGGATTGAAATTGAAAGACATGGTAACCTAGCAAAAAGACAGTAATATGAATTGGTGGAATTTTTAGTAAGGAGTAATAAACAATTTGCAGGG